TAAATGACGTTAAGATAGCTGGACGGGATCTAGCGGGTGGGCCGAATAATGGGGCCTACAACTGAAAGTTTCGAATAGGAAGGAGCCTGTCGATACAAATGGTGCACAAAGCAAAAGATCTAAACAGTGGTAACGCGGGACTTCGAACCAAGTAGCCAGTGTATGAAGACCACAAATAATGCCAAGGGACAACTGTTTCGTCTACGCGTGACCGTGACGTGCAGTTGTTTGTTCCACTACAAATGTATCGTCCGCCCGCATCTAGAATAGTATACAGCCTTGGTCTCCTTATCGAAACGACACCGATAAAGTGGAGAGTGCAACTTCTAGTCACCAGGATGATAGCTTGGCAACGACGGAAGAGCTACAAACAGCGGCTCAGGGATTTGAATCTGTTTCCCCTCAAGCGGAGACCTGATTGAGACGTTTGAGATAGTCAAGGGTATCTCAGGCCTTAGGTTTGACGACCTGCTCTCTTTTGTTCCGTAACGGGGACACTAGGAGACAGGCTGTAGCGAAACCATTCTAAGCTGCAACTGAGGGCAACATATTCACCAACAGGGTGATTCCGTTGTGGAACCGGTTATCGCTGATAGTAAGCTGCACTACTGTAAATGCCTTTAAAAAAGCACTCGTAGGATAGTGGTCTTCCCCGAGATAAGCGTTCGGATACTGCCTTCACCCTAACTAATGCACTACACTATTCTGCCTTTCAGAAAAATTGGATATTCGGAAACTCGCCGAAGACACGAATTTGGACGCTCGATTGGCAAGAGCCACAAATCATCCTGAGACCTGAAGTNAACTTCACTTCAAAATTATTCGTTAACGCCTACTAATAAATGTAAATAACTCCCGTGCACTGCAGTTTAGCGTAAAGATTTAGATAGAACCCGAAATCAATTTCACCTCAGTTTGTACAATCATCAGCAACACCCAGTTCCGATGAGTAATGATTCAAGCTACCGGTGGGACAGTACGAGCGTTAGAATTCCGTGTTGTGTAACAATCGAAGCTGGAGGAGAGAGGACTTACTCCATATCTTCCAATAAANATCAATATACCTTTCGAACGTATTGTCCGATCTCAGGACTAAGTGTTATAAGCGTAAGGTTCAACAAAACATACCCAATGTATACAAATGTGTTCTTTTGTCAGTAAATAATGATTCCAGATCTTTTGTCGCCTTTTTAGCATGCTTCTCTTCGTATTCCCCAGTTTTTGGATTTCTGTGTCGGATTATGAAGTGAAACTGCAGAAATGGGAATCACAGGAGTAGCCTACCTTCGTATCCATTCCGCACTTATCAGGACCGAACATGATTGTGTAAGGAGTTTTGTCGTGAAAGTTCAACTGCTAATATAATAAACAAATCATTTACTTACCAAATCCAAATCAGTGTTTGCACTAAGTAACTTGATGTATGCTCCACCGCACTCCATTCCATTTTCAAATTTTACTTCATACTGGATAACCAGTTCGGGCGTATTAAACTTGATGGGACGATCCAATTTCACAGAAATGGCGTGATGTTTGGCTTTGGATTTTAAAACGAGTGCATGGTCACCCTCAATCGCAAAGCTCTCCAGCGTTTCAACTGCCCAGCTGCCATCGTATTTGGCTATAGCATCATCCATTCCATCTTTCTTTGCGGTAGACAGAAACAACCTACAGATATAAGATTTATCTTATTATCACGCTTACTCTTACCTTTTTCCGATATCTGAAGGTCCTTCGAAGTAGAGCGAAAGATAGGCGTTCTGAGGTATCGAGGGTTTCTCAAAGGTCGGCTATAAATGAAATTAGTGCATGCAGGAAAATGAACTGAACCTTTTTGGTTTTGTTATCAGCTTCATCATCAGCCCAACAAATGTGAAACAAGCAAAAGGAACACAAAAATGCCAGGCCAACACTGCGCCAGAGCATGACGAACTGCAAATCCAACGCCCGTCCGTGCTAGAACTCTATTGGTCGGCGCAAAATAATTCACTCATACAAACAAAACAGGTTGAATATTCAGAGGAAGTAAAATTGAGTTTCCCAGTCCTTCTGGGTTCCCGTACCGTGCACTTAACTTTGTATTTCCTGTCTTTTATCAAATATATCATGCGTTTGTTTTACTGGTAGAATGGGGAACTACGGAAAGGGCGCTACTGGAATGGCTCCATTCACATGCGCTTGTGCAGGTCAGGTCCGGTCAGCTGAGGTTTCACAGGACTGGTAGTGGCCAAAGGTCAATCAAGCGTCCGGAATTCCTTCGGTGGTATGCTCATGAGTGTGCGTTCACCTCTGCGATTGATCGGTTTCTCTTTCTATCTGCAGACAGAGAGAAAGAGAGACTTTACTTCTCCCCGTGTCGGCGACAGACTTTTATTGTGAAAGCCTTCCATAGTACATAAAAACCATTAATGCACCTAACTTTCTATGTCAAGGAAGACCTTCAACCATCTGGCATCCAAGCTTGGACGTTTGGCTGCATAATCAGTTCCGACAGTAGCTTATTCCAATTTTCCACTATCCTATTGCCAAAGAAATGTGCTCGTGAGTTCAGCCTAGAAAGCTGTTTCATAAGTTTGAGCTCATATCCACGCGTTCCTTGGTGAGGAGCCTCAGTGAAGAAGGACCCCGGATCTAAACCCAGCAAATTTTTCTTAACCTAAATACTTCGATGAGGTCTCCGCGCAATCTCCTTTTTTCTAGCGAAAAAAGACCGAGCGCGTACAAACTTTCCTTGTATCTTTTACCCCGCATACCCTCAACCATCCGTGTTGCTGGTCTCT